GGGTGGGTGGGTGCGTGTGTTGGTGTACAGAGGAGGGAGGGAGGGAGGGAGGCCGGTGGTTGTGTATACAGACAGGGCTGCATGTACCTGTGCAGGGAGTTTTTCCTTCGTGTGTATCAAGAGAGTGACCGTTCCCCTTTTTGACATGCATGACTCATGCATGTGCGAGGGAGGGAGGCCGATATGCCCTCTGAGAATGAGCCACACGCTCTCAGTTTTGCGTCTTTTTGTGTTATGTCATCTCTCTGTCGTGTGCTGCGTGTTCCGCGTATTCCATTTGTTGCGTCCGTCCATAGTATGAGTGCTATGGTGGATGTGATGTGAGCGACAAGGCGGGCAGGCAGGCACCAAGTGCGTGCCCTTTTCGTGTTGAGAGTTGTGCATCTGAGGAATATCGGATGTCAAGACAGCAACGAGTCGGCCACATAGGATAGGGAAAAGAGAAAGAATCCATCAACACACGCACCACCTCAATGACCTGGCAGGCATGTTCATCAGACAGACAGACAGACAGAAAGATCGGTGCACGGAACCCCCCAAACTGCACACATTTCATTCACAACAGCTGAGCTGATGTCAGAAGAGACAAGACGATAGATACACACAGTTCATTCAGTTCAGTCGAGCGATCGCTGGCAAGGCAAGGCAGGCAGGCAGGCGGGAAAACGAGGCAGCAGAGGAATGGAGAAATGCCTCTCAATTACATTGCATGCCATGTCGGGAGAAAGGGCCATCCGCAGCGCCATAGGCACCACGAATGCAGCACACACACACACAGAGAGAGACGGAGAATTGAAAGCACGCATGGCCAGTGAGTGCAGCACTCATAGCACAGTAGTAGGAGCACTGAGACACACACACACACAAATGCACACACACACATAGAACCAGCCAGCTACTAATAAAGCGCACACGCATCGGAAAATTGTCTACACGTCTCCCGTATCGCCGCTCTTTGCCCATATCGGCACCAGCCTCTTCTCGCGTGCGCCACACACGCTGCACACGCACTCCCTCTCCGTCACAGCCACCCCCTCCCTCAGCCTCTCATAGACGCGACGCGTTTCGACATCCCCTGGCACCATCTCCTCCGCTCTCCCTGTGGTCGACAGCCATATGTGGTTGGCCGCCGAGCTGACCACAAAGGGGGGCGGGGGGACGTCCCTGGCGAGGGTGGGTATGGCGTCAGCTGTGATGGGGGCCGCCTTGAGGGGGGAAGGCTTGCTCGTCACGTCAGCCGGCGGCGCGTCCGTCGGCACGTGTGTGACGGAGCCCTCCGATGCGTCATCGCTCACAGCCGCAGTGGTGGGCAGGGGGGCGGCTGGCGATGGTGTGGGCGCATCGGTGGATATCAAGGTGCTCAGGGGTCTCATGGGTGTGGGGATCAGGTAGCCCTGTGTGTTGTGCCGGCTGCAGACCATGGCCGAGATGAGGGGCTTGAATTGGCGGTCGGCGCGGCACCTGTCGCACTCACACTTGAAGTGGTAGCCCTCGAGGCAGGCCATCCTCTCCTTGCTGCACATGGTCGCCCTTGTGTAGCAGATCGTCAGAGCCTCTCCTCTGACGATCCCACGGAGCGCCCAGAAGCGCACACGCGCTCCATCCTGCAACACACACAACAAATCCACACACGAAATAACTGGGTGCCTGTCTGGGTGTCTGCCGACGCACTCACTTGTGTGCGTGCGATGTTTGGGAGGCAGCTGTGGTTGAAGAGAGAGGCTGTCGGGTAGAGGGCCAGGCTGAGGCACTCGTCGTCCTGATTCCACACGCCGAATCCGTTGCACTCGATCCGACACAGCAGCAGGAAAAACGTGTCGAAACTAACGTGCAGGTCACACCCCACCACCGAACGAAACGCCTGAATGAAGGAAGCACAGACACACACAGACAGGCAGACGTGACACAGCAGAGAGCGGATGTGGGCTGCCCTCGCCTGTCTGTCTGTTGCCTGACGTGATAGAGTTTCTTGGCAGCTTTGACGAATGAGCTTCGCTTGCGGAACATCGCCTCATTCGCCACCAAGTTGTTCCCCCCGCTCACACCTCTGAAGTGCTCCTCGACGGTCTTGCCCTCGGCCGATTCGCCGTCGGCAGGTGCGCTGGCATCCTCTCCCCCTTCATGCTGATCAACGCCGGCCTGGGCGTGGAACTCGTGGTAGAACGTCGACAGGGTGAGGCGAAGAGTCATCATTGCCTCTCTGTCAAGTTTCAGCTTGCTGGACTGGAGCCGCTCATAAGCCACACACACATGGTGATGAGCTGTACGCCTGTCCTGGTCACGACAGCTCTCCGAGCAGTAGTAGATGTGCTGGCACCGGCCGCAGCACAGAGCGAGGGCTTTGGTCGAATGGAGGAAGCAGCGTCCGCACACCCGACGACGAAGGGACTCCGACACGCCATGGGAATAGGGAGAGGCGTGCAAGATCTCCTCTCCCGGCGATAGATCTCTCGACGCCACCGCAAGGTTGCCAAGAGTGGGTCTGTAGATGACCTCCATTACGGCATTATAACCTCAGTGAGGGCACATCCACGAAACAAGTCGGGAAAGCAGTCGACAAAGAAGCCGGGGTTCTTGTACTCGAGGAGACCGTCGACCCTTCCATCACTCCGCCACCGGTCGAAACTTTCTAAGCTCGTATTCTCGACGAGGGGCTGCTCTCCCCTCTTCCCCTTTCCACACAGAACGGCGAGTACTCGACTGCATAGGGCACTTCATCCTCTTCTGCAGTGGATTGATTTTCTGTCCAACACACAATGGTCCTTTCCGTCGCTTGTGCTGTCCTTGCGGCCATCGCCCAGGGCGCTGCGGCCTTCAACGTCGACCGCACTGTCTCCCGCCGCATCGCAGCTGAGCCAACGCCAAAACAAAGTCAGTGCACAGTAGAGCCCACAACCTTGGCTGTCTGTGAGTCACTGCAATGCCAGTTCTATCTTTGGATGGATGGTTGATCGCATGCGACAGAGTCGCAGGCGATCTGGAGTTCAAGCCCCCCTTCATGCTGTCGAGGGATACCGGGTATGCAGAGATTGCCGAGAAGGTTTTGATCCCAGAGGACGCAGAGGGGGCCGCGCTGGTCTTGCTTGATGCGGACTCGCCCAATGGGTGTGACTCCATGTTCTTCAACTCTGACTACTTGCAATGGTCAGGCACACACGAATGCATCAGAGGACAGATGATGGTCAAACTTTCTCTGGCGTCTCGCACATAATCAGGTGGCTGACCGACCTGGGCCCGGGCAGCAACTCGACAGCCGCCGCCACCACTGCCGCCCCGAAGAAGGAAGAAGGCGGAGAAGAGGAAGAAGCCCCAGAACGTGAGGAAGGGTCCATGAGACACGCACAATTGCATCTGTGGTGTTCCTTCTGTGTGTGTGTTCAGCATGTACGGGGAAGGTGGTCAATCTCGGTCCTGCTGAGCACCGATGGCATGGCTGTGAGATCCTCGCGTATGAGAAGCCTTCACCATCGCACGGAGCGGTCAGCAATCAACCAGGCATGGACACTCTGCGTTGAACGCGTAACCACAATAAAATGTGGCGCATTCTTCTGTTGTGCAGCATCGGTATGAGTTTTTCCTTGTGCCGAAATCGGTGGTCAAGAAAATGCCGAAAAAGCCGACCTGGAGGAAGAATGCCAAGTCGTTTTTCGACGCTGTCCGAGACCCCAGCCAGCTGAACATCCCGCCGGCACTGACCTTTTTTGTCTGTGGCTACGACGCTGCGCGCCAGTGTGAGCTAGATCAGTTCCCAGAGGCCTGCGTGAAGAACTTGAAGCGCTTCAAGACCACAAAGGCCAGAGCATGAGGCATCAGGGACTGATTGATGAACTGTGGCCTATGCCCTTGCTTGAGTGAATGCCCTATGTATGTGGGTGTACAGCTTCGATCAAGGAGAGGACAGAATTCCCTCACTCAGTCACGAGACACATGCACACACACATGCACCATGCACCATGGACACGGGCCTTCAGATACCAAAGCAGCCCTTGGGCAGCGTGTCTTTCTCCTGACATTTCTCGGCCCCTTTCTCCCTGTCATAGCCACAAGTGAAGGCCGGCTTCTTCCCCGCCGCATTCCTGATAGCCTTGATGGCGCTGCGGGCGGGAGTCTTGCTGACATCGTGCAGATCGTCCATGTCTCCTACAAGCGCCAGCGTCAGATTCGCTCTCTCAGTTTGGTCCACGAAATAAAACTCGTATCGATGCTGATTGAGGGGAAAGGCCATCAGAGAGAGGCATGGCCATTGGATGGAGGGGCTTCGTGTCTCACCATGCCGTGTGCGGGTGTTGGCGGTCTATAGGGGACCTCCTCGCATGCTTGCCACGTGTTGTTGCTGAGATGCACGGCGTTGCCGGCACAGGCTGCAACGCACAGCCAGAGAAGTTATCCATTGGGTTCATTCGTTTTGTATGGCCATTCATACATCGCGCACCCTCTGCCTCTCCTGGGAAGACATCCCTCAGCCACCAATGCAGCACATCATGATTGCCCGACGCACCGCCAAGGCACCCATTTGGCTGCACAAGCAAGGCACAATCATCAGCGCAGGTAGCAATCTGCCTGTCTACTCACATAGTCAGGGTCAATCATGAAGATGTAGCCAAACTCCGCCCCCGTCTCGAGCATGATGTTGTCGGCCACACTGTCCCTCAGCTTGGGCGTCGTGAGCTTGAAGTCTTCCCGAAACGTGACGGGCGGTGGGGGCTTGGGCGGCGCCTCCTCCTCCTCTTCTGTGGTTCCAGCCGCCTCAGACTTTTCAGATGAGACATTCACTGGGGCACTGGTTGGAGCGGCAGCAATGGCTGAAAGGGGGAACGAAAAAGACCATGACAGCAAAGACGGTGAATGATATCTGGGTGCGCACCTTCATGGATTGGAACATCAATTCTTGACTCTGCTTCGTTGCGATTCCGATGGAAGGAGACTGCAATGCCATTCTGGTGAAGCCCCAGCAGCATCACCAAGAGCAGGCAGCAGCAGGCAAGGTGGGCAACGCGAAGCATGGTAATATCAAGCAAGAGAGAAAGCGTCACTGCCGTCGCAGTGCTGCGATGAGAGGGGCACACCTGAGGAGCGAACACGCAGATACAGACAGTGCAAAGTGCATTCCGGGGCCGTCATGTGTTCACTTGAGCTCTGAGGGTAGAGGAACAAGGTTGCGATGAAAGCGAGTTCCGGAGGAAGGGGGTGAAGGGAAGGATCGCGCCCCCCGGCCCCAGAGTCGACCTGTCCCTTCCCTCCCGATGGAGATTCATCTCTTCGTAGCCCTGTTCTTCATCGCATCATGCGTCGAAGGAATGCACATCGTTGGCCGCATCAACGCCCATGGTGTCCTCACTACAGAAAGCACCAGGTATGCAGGCAGCTACTACAGCACAGCACAGGGGAGCCACCGCTGAGCTCACGTTTGTACCATGGATGGTTGTCACAATCAGCGACCCCTATATCGGACGTGAGAGCCACGAGGAACATCTCATTGCAAAGGCGTTCGGTACTGTTTTGTGTGCGCTTTCCACTTTGCAGAGGCGCGTTTCGAGTTGGTGGATCCTGACAGCCCTGGCGCGCTGGTCCGATTCAAGAAGGATATGGTCATGGGTGACCTCACCAAGACGATGAAGTTCGTTGACGTGGATGGAGAGGATTTGGTTCTCATTGGGCCGGCCGGAGTCATCAGCATGCCGACCAGCCAGGGGGAGGTGGCGTCGATGGAGCTCACGACGGACGAGCCCCATGTGATCAACATTCCTCAAGTCCATTGGTGGATAACCGACATCACAAACAGACGGCCGCAGAGACGTAAGCGAGTTGGTGCACCTGCATTGATACGGCGGCACGATCCCATTTTGCCATCGTTCAATGATCGTTGGCTGCCATGCGCGTTCAGAGCCGTGTGATGTGATGCAGCAGGTCAACGAGACCCAGCCAAAGCCCAAGGCGGCAAGCTTCCTGCAGCTGCACGAGACGAAGCTGCCGCCGCCCAACCCAGAACCGGATGACGAGACGAGCCTCAACTTAAAGGCAGAGCCCGACGCAGAAAAACCGAAGTTCTGCGGTGAGAGAGACGTGACGCGCTCTCAAATTTTGACTGAGGGAATATGCCTGCAGGATGTCCGGAGGACAAGATAGTATCGTTTCAGGGTGGTTTCAAGGGTTGTATGAGTATCCCTTATGTCTCACCAGGCAGCATGCAGTTCCCCGAAGTGTCACCAAAGCCTAAAAGGGTGGAACTGCGGGAATCAACCATATCAAAGCACGAAACGAGCCGCCCCATCCGTCGCACACGTGTGTGTGTGTGTGCGTGTGTGTGTGTGTCTCCACGTCAGCTTCCCTACTATTTCTTCCTTGCTGATCCAAAACTGAAGGAGCTGCAGCCGGCCGACAATTACGCCCTCTCATCCGAGTCACGGATTCCCATCGACCCAATAGAATTCAGTAAGACGGCGACCCTTTGTTTACTTTGTATCTGTTTTGTGTTGGTCTGGTGAATGGATGGTTGCAGTGAAGCACTTAGGAAGGACGGGGATGCCGGGCAGTGGGAAGATGCCCGAGTGGGTGCATGCCTACGGGTGCCTGGACACATCGGAGCAGTGCTGTAGCTATAAGAGGGTGGCCTATGAGAAGATGCCTGATTCATGTTAGCTGATCAATCAATAGGACATGTGGTGCATGTGTGTGTGTGGACTGCCGTGGCAAGGCAATATATTACTATTTGAGCATGCAGGTCAGGATTCTTTCCGTATGTATTAGCGCATTCAGGTCAGCATCCATACACACATAGATACGTACACGCGGCGGTGATCGCCGGCTTGAAAGAGGCAGGCCAAAGCACGAGAGGAAATATCAGAGCATTCATCCACTCATCCACCGGCTCGACTCCCTCACTGCATGGAGACGCGCCATGCCGGACAAAGCACATAGTCGGGGATGCATTCGTCGGTATCGACCGTACCTTCGGTGATGGTGGCTTGACTGTTCCTCCAGCTGCGGTGGGGCTCTGTCGTCCACCCTTTCTGTCGCCCTTCTTCCCTTGAGTCTTGCGCAACACCTCATTGATCTGCACACACATACACGTCAAAAAGACGCAGCCTGTCCGTGCTCTTCTCTCCCGTACATACCTTTTGAGATGAGTCGAGTTTCTTCTGCTCTCGCTCTGCCATAATGGCTTCCTCGTCTGTCGCACCTGCCGCTTGAGCTGCATAGAACGAGATGCATGAGAAGATGCATAAGTGTCTCGTGTGTGATGGTCACCCATGATAGAGGTCCGCGCTGATGCCGACGGGACGCGGCAGACGGACCGCACAAAGCTAGGGTCTTTTAGGAACTTGGTCTCCTCTGCCAATATCCCAGACTGATTGAGACACACAAGAATACACACAAGACAACAGATGCCAAACAGACGGAAGCGCACTCAAGACGGCCGTCTCACGGGCAGAGATTTGATGGTCCTGCCCTCGGCGGCCTGTGGAATCGCACGGAGAAAGGATGGTAGAACAATGCTGCTCCAGCCACGAGCGACGCTTACGTGTTTCTTCGCCATGGCGTTGAGCTGCTGCAGCGGTGCCTCGAGGCTCTCAAGGTAGGACGGGACCTTCTCGAAGGAATCGATCGTCTGCGGCTCCTGTTATAATGAATGCATCGACAGGAAACATCAAGCGGGGCCCGGACGACATTGGCATGCGTTTGTCGGCAGGACACAGTACCTCTAGCCCAATGGCGTGCAGGAATCGGTTGATTCGAAGTATCCACCTGCGAGTCTGGTCCAGCTGAACTGTCGTACGCTGCAGCTTGTCACGGCTGCACAAACAGACACAAGAGAGTAATAAAGTGCCCTATTTGTCTTCCTGTCTGCACCCGTACTTTTGCGTGTGGTGTTTGAGGGCTTTCTTGAGCTCATTGTCGCACTCCTCCACCTCCTGCCACCACAGATGCACAATCATACCAATGGCTGACCCTTTGTCCGTTTCGGCTCTCATACCCCCCAACTGACCACGTACAACTCCCGTGTCTTGCTGCCGTCGGTGTCGAATGTCATGCCGTCCGTGCGAGCCTTGACCTCAGCAAATCGACCTTTCATCATCTGCAAGACGAGTCACGCACGCGAGGAGACACATGTAGCTCATTGTCACATTTGACGGGCCTGCGCACATACCTCTAGTTTGGCCTCCGCCTCCCGCACCGACTCCCTCAGGTGCTGCTCCTCCACGTCACGATTCAGAAACTTCTGAACTATGGCGTCGACATCAGTCAAACCCTGAGCAAACACACACACCAATGCACCCACAGCACACTTGCATCCAACGGCCACTGTTATTTTGCCCACCCACCGTGACTTCGCGTATCTTTTGGAAGCCCTCCTCGGTGGCCTGCGAGCGCTCCACCTGCACGCCAAGTCAGGTCGGAGCGAGACACACACACACACTCCGGCACGAAAACACGCATACCTGCGCGTATATGATTCGCTGCAGGGCGTTGCCCATGAGCTTCTCGAAGGCGTACAGCTTCCGCAATTTGCCCGCCGAGGCGTTGAAGGCCTCAGTGGCCGCCTGCAGAGCGATCTGGTGGCGCCACTTGTCGAAGTCACGACTGCATGAAGACATACGTATGTAGGGGGCTCATGCCAGCCGGCCGCATATGCGTGGGTGTGTGTGCGGCACTGACCGTCTTCTGATAGAGTCCTTCTTGCCCTGTATGGCCTCCTGGATGCTCGATAGCGACTGGTCACGCAAATTGCGCTCGGCACCGATCTCCTGAAGAGAGAGACGACCAACGGAGGCTCGGTCGATGCACTCATGCACTTATTGCCATGCCTCCATATATTACGAAATCCAGCTGCAGCAGCTCCTGTGAGCTCTTCTCCTTCAGCTGCTGCTGCTTCCTGATCAAGCGATATGAGACAAAGTGCGTGTGGGGTGCGGTGCGCCGGTGTGTTGCCGCGCTTCGCTTACTGCAGCGACCGCACTTGGTCCCTGACTTGGCCATTCTTTCTCCCCAGCAGGGCCTCCAACTTCATCTGACGCTGACGCAAAATGTCGATCTCCTTCTGAGCACACACACACAAAGAAAGAAACACAGAAGGGATTGCGAGTGTGTGCAGGAAGTTCGAGGGTTGTGTGGTCTCTTCCTCGTCATGGTGACCTTAGTGCGTTCGAGTATGTGTGTATAGACTTTCTTGTTCATGACGGCCTCGTCAGTCGCCATCTGCACTTGGGTCATCTCGTCATCCAGCGCACCATGACGCTAACCACACATAACAACACCCACGTGGAACGGCAGAAGAGAACGACGGCAGCAGCCAATTGCTTTATGCGGTACCTCCTCGACTTTCTGCAAGCTCGTCTGTTTGGTGAGGTTGGCCGTCTCCGCCTGCCGGACGCCCTCCTGCCAGCCAGCAGCACACATCGGCGGCAGCAAAGGAGACACGACATACTTGCACTCATACAGACGATGATTGAATTGATTGCGTTGTGGTCGCGGCGGTGTGTGTCTCGCTGGCTGACTCTGAGTGTGAGGAACTCTGCCTCTCTGTTTTGGCACATGAGGTGAATCTCGTCGAACTGCTTCCGCATCGTCGCCAGGATCGTACGCACGTCATCCACCGCCGCCATCTCATTCTGCACGAAAGAACACGACCGTCAACGGACATCCACACACAGATCATTTGCATGTTCCGCCCCTTGTCCACCCCCCACTTACCCCGCCATATTGCTGGACAGTCCTCTCGAGGACGGCATTGAACTGATTAAGCGATGCCGGGTTGAGTGAGAGTGCCAGCTGTGCCTTCTTGGACCGATTGGTCGACAGCCCCTGCGACTCACTCAGCCCCGCCTCACCGGGAGGGCTGCCCGGTGCACTCTGTGCTCGCGGAGCCGACTGCACACCGACAAGCAAAGAGAGGTCAGCATTCACCATGCTGCCTCCTTGTTCCATTCGTTCTTACCCTTTTGGCGCCTCTCCGTGCTGATTGCTGACCGTGAGAGGTCCGGGCTGACTGTGGCATCGACATCTTTTCCGCTCCACCCCGCACCTCGCAAGATTAGTAGCTCGCAGCGTTTTCTCCCTTCTCCCCCTTTGCAAAAACTCCCTCTGTTCCGAGGTTTTCGTGGCAGGCGGCTCTCAGCTGATCACTTCAATTCATCCCCACTTGAGAGCTCGGTGTTCCTTCACGTGGGGCTCGGTGTTGAGGCGATGGAGAGTGTAAACCTGTACGAGTGTGGGAAGCAGCGAGGGACGGCTGGCCAGAAGGCAGTGGCGTCACGCCTGTCCGGCGTTCAATTTGACATCATAAACCCGGCACGCCAAAGGTGAGCACGTGCCATGGCATAGGTAGCAGAGGGGCAATGCATCCTTACATGGGGGATGACACGTCTGCAGATGCGACCCCTACTTCCCCATGCTGCGCGCAAGCGACGATGGCAACCCCTTCGACAAGAGGTTCATCCAGAAGAGGCGGCGCATCCCCGCTGGGGGCCATGAACAAACGCAGCACGTCCTCAAACCTCCGCTAATGAGCTATGTAAGCCAGCACCACACGACACAAATGAGTGACATGATCTGTGTGCTCTCCCTACATCCATGCAGGCTGAGACGGAGGCTCACAGGCTGAAAGCCTCTTTGCTGAGCCCATCTCGGTACCACTTCCTCTGCACCACCAAGAGGCATGCTGCCGGCAAGCCTGCAGCCGTCTGGATGCCACCAGCCGCCACGACTGCCCCGAGTTTCACTGCTTACCAGCCCCCCCGCACAGCGCCCGCCGGGGCGGCAAGGCGACACACGGTGGAGAGCTGGTCTCCCTGGTCGCGTCACATCAAGCAGCAGAGGGACGGCATCTTCTGGTCTCCACATGTGCCTGCCTGTGTCGGTCGGCCCTCTATTGCCCCGCCGGGGACGTCAGTCCGCTTGATTGCGAGGAACGAGTACACGAGCCTCAGGGAAAGTAAAGTTGAAGAGAAGACTGAGGATGAAGCAGCTCAAGTGCGGCCGTCGACCCAGGGTCAGCCGCAACAGCAGCCTGCCGGCGCCGAGGCTGAGAAGGAGGCGACCAAGCGGCCGTCCACGGCTGCTGTTGCCTCGCCGTGCGTCGATCCATACCCGAGACGATATTACGCAGCCACAAGAAAGGCGCGTGTGAATCCCCATGTCGTCTACGCAGGCACGGGCGTGCAGCACTCCCATTTCATGAGACGGCCGTCTCTGAGTGACAGCACCACGAAGGCAGTCGAAAGGGCGCCGCTGTCTGCCCTGCGAGGTGCGTCTCGCCGTGTGATGTCCCATGAGGATTTCTCTGCTGTGTTGAGGGGCAACAATCACTACGATGGTGAGTGTGCGGTGACCAGGGGGCTGTCTCAGTATCAGAAACCTGCGGTGGAGTCGAACAGCAGCAGCGTGCCGTATCATACTATTATAAACACTAGATCAATTGGGGCGTGTGTGGGCTTCCATGTTTGTGGGGACTGCTGACCTGACCTTCCTGCGTTTCGTGGGTCAAATGCCATCTATCTTTACCACCACATGAAGGCAGCTCTCGTCATTGTGCGTCCAGCAGTACACAGAATGGGCACACGGTTGATTTGTCTGTCTATCGGCCGAAGAATGTCTGCCTCGTGTATGTGTTGAGCACAAAGCCAGGCGCATCCGCATAGGTCAGGATGGCGTTGATCCGCCTCTCGCCAGCACCAACCACAGGAGTCACCCTAAACACACAAACATGAGTGGCCGCTCTCTCTCCCTCCCCCTCTCCCTCCCCCTCTCTGTGTGTCTGTTGTTTGCTCGCCCACCTGTGCATGTATCTCCTCCCCTGGAATATGATGATGCCTCCCTCGGCCAGCGGCGGCCGCACCACCTTCGACACATCCTCACCCCTCGCCACACGCGCCACCCCCGCCTCATAAACAGGCGGCAGCACATCATCTGAGTCGGCATCCTCCTGCTGTGGTCGTCCATCGGCAAAGAACTCAAACTGCCCGCCACCGCCCTCCGACGGCAGCGACACAAGCAGGTTGACGAAGAACGGCGACCGGTCGAAGTGCCAACCGAGGGCGTCCCCTTCTTCAAACACGTTGTAGTAGACGCCACCGAGAGGGTCGTCAGAGCAATAGACAGGTCGGTCTATGATGAGTGAGAGCAGCCGGATCAGGCCCGGTGAGCGGAAGAGCCTCAGCAGCTGCGATTCGGTCGGCAGTCGGTCTTGCGCGATGAGGCACTTCGACGACTGCTGTGTTGTTGCTGTGTCTGTGTGTGCCGAGGGCGAGTCGAGAGTGATTGTGTGGTCCTCGGTGCTGCGGAACGAGTTGTCCGCTGAGGCCTCAAATAGCCGTGCAGCCTCGCATTGCAGTTGCTGGACGACGTCCGATGACACGAATGAAGGCAGCCTGATAAGAAAAGGGAAGCGCACAAGAAGACAGTCACTGTGCCTATGACACACGAGTGTGTGTGTCTGGGCGTACCAGCAGTATCCCTGGCGGCGATAGTCCTCCTTGAACTGTGCTACTTGGGCGTCACCGGCGTCCAGGGCAGCCAGATCTTCGAAGGTGAGCAATGCCATGAAGCGATCTGGGACGGAGGAGCATTAGAGAAGCGACGGGGAGGAGAAGATCAAGCTTCAATGCCAAGCTTGCAGCGGATCGAATTCATAGCATCCCACGACACCTCCTGTACGTCGAGCTGCATGTCGAATTCACTGCAGGCGGCTGAAACGCATTGCGAATTGAGCTGCTACATGCACCATCGTATTCAGATCCCGCCTGGCTGGCACAGAAGGTGTCTGCGCTGCCTGGCGTCAGGTAAGAAGCGCAGGTTCGGCATCACCTTCGCTTCGGACCTGAGAACAGAGCTGCGCAGACTTCCTTCCGTCACCAGGACCACAACCATGCTGAATGCAGCACTTGTGTTCACTGTTTGTCACTCACTGTCTGCTTCATGTGACACCTGTTCTGACGTGGGGGTGCACACAACCGAAGAGCCGGCAGGTTGCACACCCACGACATCACGGACGTCACATGAAGCAGCGCAGCAAACAACACATCAGAACTCCATGACAACTGCCAGGTAGTCAGTGAGAAAGGCACCGCCTGCCGACAAAACCAGACGCGACCGACCGAGGCAGGAAAGTATGACACTACGCGCGACCCTCATCTCTCTCCACCCATCCCTGTCCGCGTGCGCCGCCCTTTGCTGCCTGGATGCCCGCACACACACATTACTCATGTATCCACAACAGGACACTCCACAGCAAACCTCTCCCCTCTGCCCTCTCTCCCTGCCTCTTAGTCACTTTACTCAATCTTATCCATCTTCGGCACGGATGTGTCGATACGCTGCAGCTGTGTGTCAACCGCATGCACGCGTGAATTAATGGACCAACGGAGCCGGAAAAAACATGGCCCGTCCCATGATTACCCATTTATCCAGATTATCCAGACAGACAGACAGACAGACAGACCCGCCAGCTGGGCGGAGCTTTCGCAAACACACACGGACGCAGCGGTCCCCGTGTCACTTATCCACAACAGAACAATCCACACAAAGAAAACCACTCACAGAACTGCCCCTGGGTCCCCCCTCCCGATTTAGCCATATCTCTCACTTCATCTCGTCCGTTGGCTTCTTCCTCTTGAGCCTTATCCCGATGTTTGGCGACGACCGTGTGTGTGTGACGTCATACACGCCCTGCACCACCTCTATGCACTCGTAGCACAGCGCCCGCATGCCCACGTCACGCGGGCCGTCCTGGAACTCGTTCTGCTCGATCCACACCTCAAACGTGGCCTCCGCCGCCGCGATGGCCGCTATCAGCCGCGCACACGACAGCGCACACGACCGGCTTATCGCCCGGAATGACCGCAGCCCGAACCGCTGCACCGACGGGAAGACCTTGTCTGTGGGCAGGGTCTCGGGCAACTCCGTCACGTGGGCGGCCAGCTCACACTCGACCTGACACAGACACACGACACGCACGCTGATGCAGCCATATCAGCAGCTTTGTGTCTGTTTGGTTGGGCCGACCTCATCGACGTGCGGGGCTTTCATGTATGAGACGAAGTCGAGGATGGTGTTGAGCGATGACGACACCAGCAGCACCGCCCGGAGGCGACGGAACCCTCCGATAAGCTGAGACAGCTTGTTGGGGGCGGCCGGCAGGTCAGCCGACGGGCGGTGGCTCGTCTGATGTGAGAAGATGAAGCCGATGGTACCTGCAGTGGGGAACACACACAGTGGGGGAGGAATCGCTCTCCCATGCAGACAGACACACAAACCGAAGAAGGTCTCCATGGCGGGCATGTGTGCGTTGGAGCCGTCCTCCTCTGTCTCGATCAGCCAGTCGGGTATCGACTTGATGGCCTCGGCCACCGGGATGGACTCGCCGAACTGATACATGCGCAGGTTCTTGGCACGGGGGAACACCAACTTGTCCTTCCAGCTCACGTCGAGCGCTGTGCCGCCAATCGACAGCTGCACCTGATGGACCACACCATACCACACCACACACACGCACCCGATGCACAGCATCAAGACACTTTGTGGCGATGCGTCTTCGCATTGCCCTTACTGCGTGCGACTTGTTGGTGAGTGTTCTGACGACGTCTGCGATGGGGCCGCGCACTGCGGGAGGGGCCGTGGGCACCTTGTTGCTGCACTCTAGAGAAACATCATACCTGCATGCCATGCGCACCACACCACAAGACGACAGACAGTGTCATGCGTGGCTGCATGCCATGCAGTCGCAGGCACGTCCCGTTTGGCCTTGTGCCTGTTTGTGGTGCACGTACAGAGTATCTTCCATGAACCATGGCGTCCAGTCGATGTGGCAGCCAAGGCGGCCCGCCCATGCGATGAAATCGGGCATCGATATGGGGTTGGGCCCCTTGCTGCGCGTGAGGACCTCCTTGCCGAAATCTGTCCCTATCTGCATGCAGTAGCGAATCTGGATCTTCTTTGGCACGCCTGCAGACAGACAGACATGCAATGAATGCAGTGAGTGACCACACACACAGGTGGACGAGACGAGGTGCAGTGCATCCTCCCCTCTCCCCTGGTATGTGTGTGCCACCCACCCTTCATGTCGTGGCGGCTCCAGTGGGGGTCGAGTGCCTCGATGAGGTAGCGAAGGGGAGCAAAATCGAAGAACTTGACGCAGAGTCCGGTGATGACCCGCAACTGTGGGCACTTGCTGAGTCCGTTGAGGCAGACGTTCTTCCAGTAGTCCGTGTCGTAGAGCACCAGCTCCTTTGCCCGGAGCTCCTGGAGCAGGGGGCAGGTCTGGAGGATGTGCGACAGCGAGACGGTCGAGACCGACGTGTGTCGGCTCACGGGCCCCAGGCTGAGCACTGTCACCTTGGGCAGCTCCCTGCAGTGAGTGCACCAGAGAAAGAAAACATACATGTGACAACCTCTCTCTGTTTCAATGGCTGGGTGTCCGGCCATGTACACTTCCCATCCGTACCATTTGTATGTCCACATGAGCAGCATCCATGTGGGTGAAGACACGCTGATGCTGGTCAGCCGCTCGAAAACCACGGGGTCGGGCCGCGAGCGGCAGACGGAGAATGTCTGGTCGGGGCCGACGAGCGTCATGTGTGTCAGTGTGCCCTTGGACGCCTCCAGACACTCTGCGATGAAGGTCACGGCATCGCCGTGGCTCGTCGACACGTGGCACACCTTGATCTTCCTCTGAACACACACACACAGGCAGACGGGCAATCACTCTGCACGCACCATTTGTCCTCGAGTGGCTAGCTGGCTGAATGGCTGACCAGTCTGGCCTTGAGATATTCTGCCTTGCGCTTTCTGCTCTCGGCTTTGATGTCCTTGGACGAGTACTTCATGGCCCCGAGGTCCTGCCATATGTTCTCGCCGTCCCGGATGACCAGCCAACGCCAAATCCCATAGGTGCCGTCATTCACCTTGCCGTAGAGCTCCTTACTCACGCCAGACAGGGGTGCCGCCTCTCTGGTGCTGATCAGCGAGCCGAGGCGCCCTACCAGCGGACCCTCCAGGCCTTCTAAGCAGGAACGGTCAATTCGCACCTGCATCAGCAGAAAGAGCCAGGCCCAGAATGACGTTTGTTGGCCTCATTTCAGCCGTCTCTTTCTCCCCGTGTGCCCCACACTGTGGTGCATCTGTTGCTTGCCTGCTGCCCTTTCGGACTTGATGCGACGCTGTCTCTCGTGCTGGAGGTGCTGAAAGTCATGCGGCCTGCGGCCGACTCACAGCTGCCTGCATGCACACAGACAGGAAAGGCACGCATCTTTCTGCCCTTCTGTGCCTCACTGTTTGTGTTGCCCACCAGTTGCCTTTGGCGAGTCCCCAGCCCTCGGCGACTTTTTCGGCGTGTCTTCAAGATCCATTGTCCCCTATCAAGCTCGTTGACTCTGCGCCCTTGGCTTCCGATGTGGTAGCGCCGAAAGGTGGGCGTCGGGCTTAGGAGCAGGTGCTCGTCAAACCCATAACCAACCGACCAACCTGCGCGTCCTTGGTGGTGTCGGTGTCCGCCGGTACAGACATTCCGACGTTTGTCATATCGAGGAACACACCACCTTTGCCCTTAATTGATCGGCTGACGAGATTATGGTGATGCAGGAGGCGTTGGTGAGTGCTTTGCGTGATACGGTCAAGAAGCTGCAGGAGGACCCCGAGGCGGACGCCTTCCTGCTGCCCGTCGACACAACCAAGTACATGGACTACCTCACCATCGTCAAACAGCCCATGGACCTCTCCGCTATCAGCGTACGTCAACAACCACACGCATGCAGATCTACCAGCAACAGATCACAAAAAACAGGAGGACATCATCATGACGGTGTGCTCCTTCCTTCTCTGCGTGTGTGTGTGTGAATGCAGCAAAAGCTTGCCGACAACCCTCCGAAGTACACACGCTTCTCTGAGTTTTGGCACGACGTCGGCCTCGTCTGGGCCAACTGCCAGCTCTACAACCGCAAGGGATCGGTAAAAACAGGACTACGCCGACAGACAGATAGATCAACCGCTCTTGTGCATGTGTCAATCCGTCTGTGTGCATGTGTGTGTGCTTGGCTGCCAGGTGATATGCAAGGTAGCTCAGAGCATGCAGAGGAAGGCTGACGAGATGCGGCGCCGCATCGAGGCCGATGGCGTCCTCGGACCCCTCACCGTCCTGCCAGACCAGCTGCAGCCCGACGCACCACAGGAGGAGACCAAAAAACCAGGTACACACGCATACCCACACACACACAGTCTACACGCTCATGGCAACACACGCACATACTTGTTTGTCAGCTGACGCAGTGGTGGTTGAGAGTTTGGCGTCAGGTTCCGCAGCCTCAGATGCCGCCAATTCAGCCGCCGCCAAAGCAGCAGCCGCCAAAGCAGCCGCCGCCGCCGCAGCAGCTAGTGCTGCTGGTGGTGGTGTGGTGGCACCTGTGAGTAAGAGCGGCAGCAAGAAGAAGGGCAAGGTGGCCAAGCAGCATCAGCAGCATCAACAGCAGCAGCAACAACAGCAGCAGAAGAAACGCAAGAGGACCGCCGATGGCGTCGACGCTGCAGCAGTGGCCGTCGAGAGGGATGTGCAGCCGCGGGTCAAGCGGGAACAACACGTGTAAGTATGCAGCCAGACAGATCGAACCCTCATGGCGTGTGTTGGGGCTATTTGCGTCATGTCTGTCTCTTGTGTGTCAGTACGGAAGCGGCTGCGATGATGGCTGTCCCCGAGGCGCCCGTGCACATGGCCCCTATCCCACCACCCCAGCTGCCCCTCGCCGAGCGAGAGCTGCTCCACACACGCATGCAGATGCTCACAGGCCCATACATAGCCAAAGTACGGAGCTACATACTCATAAGGCTGCGACAGCAACACACACAGAGGGAGATAGATGTCCGTCCGTCTGGTCTGCCATGCGGTGGATGTGATGTTGCAGGTGGTTAGGTTCCTGCAGTTGCGGTCGCCTTCGGCACTGCAGCCGGTAGGTGAATCATGAGCTGGAGGGGCGCACACCATTCCCTCCCGTGTCCGTGTGTGGCATATCAGCGTGACGACAAGGTGTTGACGCTGTCGGTGGACATGCTGGCGGCCGACAAGAACATGTTCAACCAAGTCAAACAGTAAGAAAGGCCCACCACCTCAGTTCCCATCCACACGCATCAATCTGTGCTGCACGCACATCACTCACTCTGTGTATCGTCAGGTTGGTCACGATCCTGCTGAAGAACATCAAGCCGACCAGGCCGCCCGGCCAGAAGGGCAAGAGGGGCAGGCCAAAGGGCAGTGGCAAAGCAGCCGCTGCTGCTGCGGCAGCTGCCAAGGATCAGCCGGCCGACGTCGCCGCCACCGAGGACGTCAAAGAAGAGGTATGGTGCGGAGAAAGGACACCAGGGCACACGCAATCCATTACACAACTCTTTGTGTGGGATCTGATCTTGGCTCTTCAGACGCCCAACGGTGTTGTTGGTGCCCGTGAGGGCGGTGCGCCTGCCCCTCCGCCTGACGTCCAGCCCCCTGTCGATGTGGACAGCCCTCAGGATGTGGACATGGCGGCACCGGCAGCAGCAAACGCCGCCGAGCCTGCCGCTGTACCAGTCGATGCTGACGTCGTGCCTGCGGACCAGCAGCAACAGCAGGAACAGCAGGAGCAGCAGGAGCAGCAGGAGCAGAAGGAGCAGCAGGAGCAGCAGCAACAGGGTGATGATAATGTGGCGATGGATGAGACGCAAGCGGGTGCTGGTGCTGGTGGGTTCGGGGCGGACAAGGTCGAGAGTGAGACGCAACCACAGCCACAGCCACAGCAGCAGCAGGAGGAGGAGGCGGAAGGGCAACGGATGGATGCTGAGCAGCAGGAGGCGCCGGCTGCAGGGGGGGAGGAGGGGACCGTGGCGGGTGGGACTGAGGGAGTTGAGTAGGATAGCTCAGTTCCAGTTGTAGCAGGTGTATTATCATATGATGAGTGTCAGAGAGCTACTCGGTAATCTAACTGATAGACAGACAGACAGACAGACAGAAATGTGCAATGGACATCTTGCCTGAGATGTGTGACATTTGATGAGGTGCCTGCGCCAGGCCAGCTGTCAATCGATGATCGGATGCCATGAATTCAAGAGGCCCAGCAAACACACGGCGCGTATACAAAACGTTGAACACATGTCTATACGTACGTACAGGATGTTTAATTTGTAATCTGTGCGTTTGTTTAATCGTCTCTGTCTGTCTCGCGTCCGTGAGTTAGTGAGTGGGTGAGTGAGGGAGCCATCACAGCAGCGATTAATGTCTGAGGGAGCCAGCGACGACCAGGGTGAGTCAATGGAGGAGCGACAGGTTGACTCGATGCTCGAGGATGCAGTGCTGTCACTCATCCGCTGTGTCGTCAAGGACGAGACACAGCCGCTGCCCAGCCACCCCAACATCACAGAGGCCAGCCAGTCACTCGCCACCCACCTCGCACACGATGATGAGTCACCAGCACACGACGACAGCAGCATTGACTCTTCATCGCTGGAGGGCAAGCTGTCGGCTCACTCCTCACAGCCGGACGGATGCAGGAAGGCCGCCCAGCTGACGGCCACGATGCGATCTATCTACCAGCTGCACACCAGCCACACATCAGCGACGCTCCGTGAGTGAGCAGTGCACGACTGACAGAAGAAAGTGACAGAGACACAGCACGTGTGTCTGTCGTGTGTCTGTCGGGTGTCTGTCGTGTGTGTGTGGTGGCAGGTGAGGTGTTCTATGGTGACGTGCATCTGTACACCAACCAGACGCACAGCGACAGAGCCATAAGGGACATCACACGACTCCTGAGGGTACCAAGACACCAGCTCAGGATCCTCTCGTCCACCAGAGGGCTCGTCGCCGGTGCGCTGCTCACTCACTCACATGCCCTCACACACATCATGGTTGCTATGCTATCCTCGTGTGTGGTCATGTAGGTTCGATCATTGTGAGGGAGAGGGCCACTCGCGAGGGTGAGACCGTCATGATTTCGATCGACGGACGCGAGGATGAGAACAAAACCGGTGTCAGAGTGAACCCATTTCACCAGGTTGCTCAAATGACACACACACACACACACACATCTCTCTCTCTATATGTGTCTCTTTCACGTTCTAACGTGGTGTGTGTCCGGCAGGACATTGTGGGGATTGAGCTGCCTGCAGGCAGAGACACCAAGTTCGCCCTCATCGTCG